ACTGGAGAACCATTAGTGCATAGTTTGCCAAACATCCATCTATCCTCAACTATTCAGCAGTAATTTTCCATCCCTGCTTTCCAATATTTCCTCAAACTACATGGGCACATGGTTTGAGCTATTCAAATCTGGCTCAAGCCCTCAGTCAACATATCCTTAGCTTCATGAAGCGTAGGATCCCGCTTTCCCTTTGACCTACATTCCCTCTAATAAAGTTTTAATTCTGATTAAATGGTTTCTGTCTGCCAGAAGTGCAAATATATGATAACATGACAAGCTGAAAACATAAAACATTATAGCTGTGACTAGCGCAACCAAAGGAGAATGCGTGTAATATTATTGTATCCACTTTCAAGGATATTAATTCATGGCATTTGACTAACTCTGACCCCTGGCCATCAGTTTTCACTCCAGGTACAGGGAATGGGCGTCTATAGAGGTACAAAGAACTTAAAATCTATGTCCTTATTACTAAATATTAAGAAGAAAACAGTAATGCTTGAAAAGAACTTTTTCCATTGACAACGCCAGTCTTCACACTGCAAGGAAGGAAATATACTGCCCTCTTGAGGTAAATCATCATAAAGCAATCAGGATTTAACTGTTCCTATTTACTCTTAACTTGCTTTACAATCATGCATTTCTTAAAAAAAGGATCACAAAAATACTGTGTGCAGTAGGCAGTAAGAATGCAGTTAATTATAAGGAGAGTCTTCCAAAGCCATTTGATATAATATATAAATAATAGAAAAGTTTACTAAAACCCTTTCTCTTCTCTTTCTCAGTGAATCAGCATTTAAACATTATGAAACACTGTTTGAATGCTCAGTTCAGTTTTAATTTTCCATTATTATACTTGATTTGTACAGTGCGTGCATGATTATTATGTTACATTGTATTTTGAATCTATTTTTTCTTTCAGCTACACTGTACCAATTTCAAACCACAAAAATCTAAATAACTACTTTTTAATTTAGCATGCAGCAAAAGGCAAAGTATAATTATGAACAAGAATGTGATAAATGTTTGTATTTTTCCTTTTAGGCCTGCACAATGTTTCAATATTTAATTGTACTGCGGTATATATTGTGATATCAATACAATTTCACCAGATGACTTCAATATTACAAGATGATTCTGTAGGAAAATAAATCATGCATAAAATATAAAAAAAAACAACCTTTGATCATTGATAAATGCAATAGAGAAAAATATACAAATGAAATCAACAGTGTTTTATGGTTTTCTGAGGAGTCTAACCACATTCTGGAGCAGTAATTGAATAATCACATGTACAATAATACTGCATAGTCTTCATCATACAGAATTCAAATTTAAAAAAAAAATGCTCTTACAAATGGTACAATTTCTTGTCTGAATCCTTTTAGGATAGGTGCCCTTTAATAAACTATAATCTTGACTCAACATTGCGTATACTCACGATGTGACTATAGCAATTTGCAAATGATCACATTGCGATATCGATGCTGAGCCAATATATTGTGTAGCCCTAATTCCTTTTACAGGTAAAATGGCCCCAAAAGTGGTAATAAAATAGAAAATGCTAATTTAAGGTGTAAACCAGGGGTCACCAATCTCGGTCCTGGAGGGCCGGTGTCCCTGCAGGGTTTTGTTCCAACTTGCCTCAACACACATGCCTGGATGTTTACTAGTTACTAGTATACCTAGTAAGACAGGTGTCTTTGATTAGGGTTGGAGCTAAAATCTGCTGGACATCGGCCCTCGAGGAGCAGTTTGGTGACCACTGGTGTAAACACTGGACAGGAAATGTAAACTGGGGCAGCGAGACGACAAAGAAAAATATGTTGAAAAGAATTTAAAGTATGAATTTAACCTATTATGCAAAAATCCCTTTTTAAGGGGTTTAAACACTTTGAAAATGGTCTGTGAATATAACCAGCCTCTAAAAAGTACAAAATGTATTAAATTAGTTTTTTTCTAATCACATTTGCACAGTCTGCAGAAACACATTGATTGACATTTTCCTTTTGTACATGTCATCAGAGGGGAAAAGCCCCACCCATCGGTAATGAAATCACCCTCAGTAGTATAGGACATTGTTTTTGAATCTGCCACTATGCTGACACATAGGCATTTGTAGTTCCGCCCTCTTTTGAAAAGTGAGCTGGGAGCAAAATCTCATTTGAAATAAAAGTGACAGTCACCGAAATGGCACAATTCGAATCAAAGCCTAAAAGCGTCAATTTCAAAGTGTTATAAAACATTATTTATGTGATATTTTAAGTTGAAACTTCACATACACACTCTAGAGACACATTTTACATCTTGTAAAAAGGGGCATAATAGGTCCCCTTTAAATTGTCAGGAACTCTTAGAGTCCAATGCCACCATTTTCCAGAACTGCAGCCTGCTCGGAGTCTCCAAAAGTACAATGTCAAATTATAAAAAATACGAAAGTGACCTCCACTCAACATTTCAGGGTAGGAGTAGAGGTACATTTTTCAACATAATTACACATGTAATTCTCAACCTGTTATTTGTTTATTTGTGGACTAAATAAAGAAGATGATAAAATGAAGAAGATTGTTTGTTGCCAAGTTACTAAAATGGGCACTTCTTGTCAATTTCAATAGTACTGCATGTTTCTCAATGAGCATTTATTAAGTTTTGGCTTTTTAATTACATTTTGTTTTTGGGCTATTTTAACTATTAAAGGTAATTTACTTAATAATTATGCACACTTGAAAATAAAGCATTTTAACTTCCAGTCATTGTGAAAAAACATGTCTTAATGATTGAATAGAAAATAAATTATTAAAAATGATGTAGCTTCGAACTTTTATGAATGTCTTGGGGCAAAATGTGATCAGAATATCACCTTGCATAGTAATTATCTACAAACATTAGAAAAAGGTCTGTGAAAAAAAAGAAAATGCAAATAAAAGTATTCTTGGTGGAGTGCTGGTTTAACTCTGTGTTAATATGTTTTAAAGGGGAACCAATGATGAAAATCATCTTTTGAAAGCTGATTTGATTTTTTAAATTTCCTGACTTAAAAATGGGATCCAAATCCCTCCCTTTTTGAGGCACACTGCAATGTGATGTAGGATTGTGGTTTCCCTGCCAATCAAATTGATTGACAGCCGTGTATTAACATGTCTCAAAAACAGTGCAAAGTTAAACGCGTACGCTGCGTGTGTGTGTCCGCTTTGTGTGTGTGTGTGTGTGTGTGTGTGTGTGTGTGTGTCTGTACCGACATTTTGTGTGACGCATAGTCGCAGAAAGGCTTGAATTAACTCCACAACAAATACATCAAATAATCATTGGTTATGTTCTAACTGTCGTATGTCTCACAAACATTACGTGAGATCTGCTTCCTTCATGTATGTCACCGTTTCTCTATTTATTTGATGCAGCCGAGGTGGAGATTGAGGCAAACTCTGACAGGCACGTGAGAACAATGGACACAGCCCACAAAAGCAGCGACATAGTGTTCAAAGCAGAAAATCAAAAAAATGTTAAAGCTATAATAAATAATCTCATGGGTGTTTTGAACTGAAATTTTACAGACACATTCTGGAGACAAAAAAAAATGGTACAATAGGTGCCCTTTAATAAGTGATTTGTATTGTTATATATTTGAGTCTTTTTATTATGATAGATTTGAGCACTAAAAATGTATTTAATAGCCTGCCTTGTTACATCATGTCTATCTGGATTCCAAATTTAAAAGCTGTGTAATAAATGTAAATGCAGATGTTTTTAACACAAACAGTCAGTTTTTAATTAATATATTTTATAAGAGTACAATAAATCATCGGTTTATAGAATCAATAATCATTTTACCATATTTGACTCTAAACCAAAATTCACTTACATGTTTATCAGTGTTCTAAAATACAATTAAATAAAATAACTTTGCATAAACAGTTGAAATCAGAATTATTAGCTTACCTTTGATTTTTTTTTCTTATTTAAATATTTCCCAAATTATGTTTAACAGAGCAAGGACATTTTCACACTATTTCTGATAATATTTTTTTCTTCTGGAGAAAATCTTTTTGTTTTATTTAAGCTAGAATAAAAGCAGTTTTTAATTTCTAAAACCATTTTAAGGTTAAAAAGATTAGCCCCTTAAAACTATATATATTTTTCGATAGTCTACAGAACAAACAATCGTTATACAATAGCTTGCCTAATTACCCTAACCAACCTAGTTAACCTAATTAACCTAGTTAAGCCTTTAAATGTCACTTTAAGCTGTATAGAAGTGTCTTGAAAAATATCTAGTCAAATATTATTAACTGTCATCATGGCAAAAGATAAAATATTTAGAAATTAGTTAATAAAACTATTATGTTTAGAATTTAGTTAAAAATCTTCTCTACATTAAACAGAAATTATGGAAAAAAATAAACAGGAGGGCTAATAATTAAGGGGGCTAATATTTCTCACTTTAACTGTGTGTGTGTGTGTGTGTGTGTGTGTGTGTGTGTGTGTGTGTGTGTGTGTATTCCCTAATATATATATATATATATGAGCCTACACAAATCAGAGTAGATAGATAAAGAATGAAAAAAAAAAATGTTGCCAGATCTTAAAGGAGATTGAAATCATATCAGATAAGATAAACAAACAGACTTCATTTACTGACTGACAGACAGTTTTACTGACAGGCACAGTAGACAGTAGACTGACTGATTTACTAGTTAATTGATTTCCTAAATAATAATAAAAGAAATGAGTTATTAAAACTATAACGTTTAAAAATGTTGGAAAAAAATCTTGTTGAAAAAAAAAGACGAAAAAAATAAACAGGGGGTATAATAATTCTGACTTCAACTGTACTTTGCATAGGCCTGTTTGGTTTCCTTAAACACCCTTCTGTAGTTGTTTTGATATACAGACATATTTTCTCTATGATTTAAGTGTTTTCACTTTTGTAGTACACAAAGAATACTTAAAGAATAAAAATGAAACAACAGAGAGTAGTCAAATAAAATGATAAAATAACTCACCAATAATGACAAATCCATCAGATTCTCTCTCAGAAGATTTTTTGGCAGCGTCATTCTTGAATCCGAAAAACTTAAACATTTTGTTTATCTGTCATTAAAAAGTCAGAATCACTCCTCAAAAACACACGTGATGCGCAACAGATGTAAGTTTCTATTTATAGGCGGTTATATAAAAGTAACAGAGTTAGGTCAATGAAACCTGGCTTTTGTTTCGTTTATCCTTGACAACTCAAGAGTCGAGCAAGTTACCAAGCATTAGTTTTGAAACAGTCACGCGCTGCTCTTCCTATCACGTTACAACATTCTTGCTGAAATATTGTAAACAACCATACAACAACGTATTTGAATTAAATGCTGTCTTACTAATAATCACATGTGAATAATATGTCAGCTTGATTCAGGTAAATATCGAGTTAACGCTACTCGACTGAAGTTTTGTTTACCAATCCTTCCAACGTCGTGTCCGTCAACTTTTTAGCTCCGTGTGGAAACCAAACGAATAGAGTCCGAAAATTGCTTTAGAAGAAAAAAATAGTACCTCTCAAACTTGTTACAGGTAATGTAATAACAATTATATTTTAGGTTTCTAGACACAAATTTTAATACCACATTTCTCTCTCTTTCTTAATTTAATAATTGCTTTATTGGCATCACAATTGTTACAAATGCATTGCCAAAGCATTTTGAAGGTTTACATTAAAAAAAGAACATACATACATAAATTATATATAATAAAAAAAACATAGTAAACACAGTAAGTAGGAGTAGTCGTAAATAATAATAATAATAATAATTAAATAAAAATAATATATAATATTATTCAATATAGTATTATTTAACATATCATTTTATTCACACACACACACACACACACACACACACACACACACACACACACACACACACACACACACACACACACACACACACACACACACACACACATATATATATATATATATATATATATATATATATATATATACAGATATGCTGTTTGGCATTGTTTCCAACTCCTGGCTCTGTGTTCATCACAGCTGTAAAAAAAAATCTGTAAAAAAAAAATCCAGAAAGAGTTCTGACAAGGAACTACAGTTACACAGCTATTTGTTTCTCAACGTTGTTTCCTGACGCAACGGAAATGTTGTCATTCTGCAATACGTCACTTGCCTTAAGTTTTCCCGCGGTTCTGGTGTTTGACTCGACTGCTTGGCGTCTAGTCTTTTTGCGTGTTTTTTTCAGCTGTAGTTTTTTCATAAACATCCACAATGACAGGCGTTTATGAGTCTCCGAAAACCCGGATCAACACGTCGATGCTGTCTCAGTATATCAGTCGACCAGTCTGCTTCGTTGGACGCTTGGAGAAGGTATTAACCTGTTTGCGCTATACACCCAACGTTAGCTTTTTATTAATGAACTTTCCTTATACTCATGCACTCAATACTGAGCTTTCTGATTTTACATAGTGATAGCAATGAGCGTGTAGCAGTTTGTGTTTGAGTAGTATCGAGTCACATAACTCCATCATAGAACTTAAATAACGTCATTTGCTCACCATCCACCAGTTCTAACGCGTTAATATTTTATTTTCAGTTTTTACACCTTGAAATGCAGCCTTTTACAATTTTACACAATTATTTTACAACCATAACTGTATTTGCTAAATATAATAATTAACAATACATAAATATATAAATAACACTACTAAACACAACGGCTCCTCTTCTTTCTGTCAACGGCAATCTATTCAAATGTGACTTATCTTCATACTAAATGTAAAATACTACAAACATGTAAGCCTCTATCAATACAGAACTGAAGATAGGAACTGCATTCTCTACAAATCAATTCCTAACGTAGATTTTTTCTCTTAACGTAATAATGTACTTGGAGGAATGACAGAAGCTTATAGCCATTAACTTGCACTGTATTATTATTACTATTATTATTGTTGTTGTTGTTGTTATTGTTTTCATTCTACTAAGTTAGAGGTGTCAGTGGCTAATGTTCATTCAACATTCTTCAGAATATATTATTAAGTCTTCAAAAGAAAAACTCATTAAGGTCTGGAACCACTTGTGGATAAGCAAAGGATGACTTTTTAGGTTTTGGGTACATTTTAAATAAGTGGCAAGAGGAGTGGGATGCATTGGAAAATAATAAACTGTATAAAATACAACTCAAAATCTCAAACAAAGTTTTAAGAGATTATAAGACTAGATTTGATCAAGGAATTTTTAACAGATGTCATATTAGACATACAAGATTAACCCGTTCATTTTTGCTTAAAGACGAAGACCCCACTTAATGTTTGTACTGCACAATTCCCCCTACTGTAAAACACATTGTACTAGACTGTCCTGCTTTTAACTATTCCAGAAGGCTTTTTTATTAAAATGAATACTCTTAAGGACATTATTAAAAATCACACCAAGAAAAATTGTTGAATTTTTATCCTGTATTAACACAACAACAAAATCTTATTTAATTTATGTATTTATTTATTTGTTGTTTTTAATTGTATATTTATTATTGAAATGGAAATAGCCTTGATTCCTGACATGACATTAAATAAAAAGGACTTTACATTACATTTTTGGGTGAACTGTTCCTCATTGAGTGATCATGCTTATTCTGATGTGAGTTATGTGTAGTCTGTAAACATTGTTGTGTGTTGACAGGTACATCCATCAGGAAAGGTTTTTACACTGGTAGATGGTGAAGGAAAGTCAGCGTCAGTGGAGCTCAATGAACCCGTGAGTGATCAGTCCAGTATGATTCACCTCTGTAAACGTTTTTTTTATTTTTTTCTTCAATATATTGAAAATATATTTTTATTTTCCCTCTGGACCCATTTAGCTGGACGAAGAGCTGAGTGGGATTGTGGAGATTATTGGAACGGTGTCCAACAAAGGAGCAATCATGGCTACTTCGTATACTCAGTATCGAGAAGACAAAGTCCCGTTTGGTATTGCTTTTTATTATATACTGATGCTATATTACAGTTTAGATTAAAATGGTTTTATTATTGAATGCTTCTGGATGTTTAGCTTTTTTCTTGCTTTGCAGATTTGGAGCTGTACAATGAAGGTCTGAAAGTTCTTCATGATTTTCCTCAGCATTACCCATTTGAAGTGTCAATGAGTGGTTAAACAACTGTCTTTTATTTCCCTTTTTACCTTGTTTTTGTATAATTGGATATTACTGTTTCTGTAAATAAAACAATGAAAACAGTTTGTTTTGTTTATTATTATTATTTGAAAATTTTAACTATTATACAATTTTTCAAATTATTTGGAAAATAAAAAACACTGCTGCATTACATAAAATGAATTACATCGCCATTTATTAGCCTTCAAGTGGTTTCAAGCATTTATAAATGTTCAACAGGGGGAACAAAAAGAGTATAATGTGAAGGAATTACAAGCCATTGACTTCCATTTTATACTGTATGAATATAATATGCCAGTTAATGGCACACATGGTCCAACATTCTCAATATAGGTATTTTGTGTACAAACAGAGGTTGAGCAAATTGACAAATGTAATTTTTTGGGGGGTAAAACACCACTTTATGATTAAAGGATGAAGAAGAACAAGGAAAAAAAAACTTTTTGGTTCTGTTTTCCCCCCCTTTGGTTTACAGAAGCACATAACCTTTTAAGTCAGTTCAAAATTAAAGATACAAATTAAAGGATACAATTCTAAATGGGCTGTACCTTTATTCTGGATAAGTATTGCTGTTGTGCTGCATAATCATGGATGATTGCTTCACCCATACATTTTTTTTTATCTTCACAAATAGTTATTTCAGGCCCATAGACAGGGTGGGTGTACGACCTTACTGAAATTCATTTAAATATTATTTTAGCTGTTGTTATACTCCATGAATTTTCAAATGTACAATATTTACAAGAGAGGCTTAAAGTTGTGAAGCTCTAAAATCTTATTATGTTTTATTTATTTATTTTTATTTATATGACCTAATTTTGACTGAGGAAAGTTGAATGTGCTGGCCAGTTTGTTATTTGCCTAATAAATGACGTTAAACTAAAGTTGTTAATTGAAAACTTTAACAAGATTTCTTTGTGTGTGTGTGTGTGTTTGTGTGTGTGTGTGTGTGTGTGTGTGATATGATGTAATAAATTTGTATTTTAAAAGCTATATTTTACATTTCTTTTTTGGCATATTTTAGGAAATATTTTGGTACATCAAACATTGTGGTTATGATGACCAAATGACAAGCTAAATCAGCTAAAATAGTACTTAAAGTGCCACTAAATTGCAGTATTTAAATCACACAATTGAATAAAAAATGAGGCTGCAAAGAGGTCCCCTTTTTGAGAAAAAAGAGGCACCCCTTTCATCAGGCTGGCTACAGACATGCATTTGATATGTTAAAGTAGTTTACATGCATAATACAAGGTTTGATTGCAAATCTGCCAAGGGAACGTAAATAATAGTTCCCAAAGAGAAAAATGTACAAATTTTCCTTTTATAAAAATGTATTATTTAAATTATTGTTCATGCAAGTATCTCGGTTCTGTAACGTTTTCATATATTCTACCACAAGATGGCAATAAAGGGAAAAATTGAAACGGATGTCTGACATTGACTTCAGGTGAGTCTATAACGATTGAAATGCGTTTCAAATGCTGGAAACAAACGAGATATGAGTAGGCTACATGTGTAGTAATATTGTTGAATAGCAACGTAATAGCTATTTTGCTTCAGGAAAATTGTAAAAACACATCAGCTCAAACTATTAAATTGATTTAGTTTGAGCAAAACTATGACTAGAATTACCTAAAAACTTAAATAATCTTTTATTTATTTATTTTTTGTCTAATAGACATCATTAAGTCGATAAGACATTTTCAACTGCCACTCTTTGCAAACTAAAGCCAGATCATTGGAATTTCTTGAATTATGTGAGGTGAGTTCATTTTTTAGGGAAAATTTGTAACATTTCAAAATTCATCAATCAGTGAAAAAGAGTGTCAGGAGTTTGTGAATGAGCCAAATACCTCAAACGGTCTCTTCTAGTCCTCGTGTGGCCTAACTTCTTTATTTCGAATAAGCGCCAAATCCACCAAAAGCATTGGAGTAAAAGATGCACTGTACATGTAATAATTAATAAGTTTATCATTGTGTACTTTGTAATGCTCAATGTTGTGACGGAGTTGCCTGAGGTCAAGCAGCTGTCATATTGTTGCAAGTCCAGACAAAGTGCTTTTTGTAGCAGTTTCCATAGCTTGAAAAAAAAGATGTAGAAAATTAAGAATATTTGTTGATCAATTTTATTACTTTAGTATTAGTTATCTATTATCTATCTATCTATCTATCTATCTATCTATCTATCTATCTATCTATCTATCTATCTATCTATCTATCTATCTATCTATCTATCTATATATATGTATATATATATATATATATATATATATATATATATATATATATATATATATATATATATATATATATATATATATATATATATATATATATATATATATATATATATATATATATATATATATATATATATATATATATACATACATATATATATATATATATACACACACACACACACACACACACACAATTTACCGTAGAGACACTCAAAGTCATCAATGTAGCATGGCAAAAATTGTTTTTAACCATATTTATGACAGGAATCATCCGATGACACATTTAAAGATCACCCTGCAGCCACAAAACACTAATTAGTTGTTGTGATAAATCTATATGTCTGGTCATGATTCAAACCAGATTTTCCCCCAGTTGTTTGCAAGATGTTTTTAATAAATTAAAATCTAATAATTTTAGTATAGTCAAAAATTCATTTAAAAATAAAGGTCAGAATTTGTTCTTTTTTTTTTGTTTAAAATTTTCTGTTATGCTAAATGAGAACGTGAGACATATCACCAATGTTTTACATTTTGTCTTCACTCTTACCATTTCATATATTACTTGCATTTAGCATTATTTCCATACTGTTAAGGTCAGAATTTTTAGCCCCCCCCCCCCCCCCCCCTTTTGACTTTTTTTTTTTTTTAACATATTTCACAAATGATGTTTAAGAGAGTAATGACATTTTCACAGTATTTCTAATAATATTTTTTTCTTTGGAGAAAGTCTAATTTGTTTTATTTTGGCTAGAATAAAAGCAGTTTTTAAAAACCATTTTAAGGTTAAAATTATCAGCCCCTTTAAGGTATATTTTTTATAGTCTACAGAGCAAACCATCGTTATACAATAACTTGTCTAATTACCCTAACCTGCCTTTTAACCTAATTTAGTTAAGCCTTAAAATGTCACTTTAAACTATACATTGGGTTGAAAAATGTCTAGTAAAATATTATTTACTGTCATCATGGCAAAGATAAAATAAATCAGTTGTTAGAGATAAGTTATTAAAACTATTATGTTTAGAAATGAGTTTAAAAAAATCTTTCCATTAAACAGAAATTGGGAAAAAATAAACAAGGGGGCTAATAATTCTTACTTTATATATAGGAAATCATTTTTTGTGACTTTTAGTGCTGACATCAAATTTAAACATCTGGTTTTTGACCTATATTCATATATTTATGTATTGTTATTAAATTATGTGTAAAATTGTCTGCTGTTAACTTCTAGATAGTAAGAAACAACATGATAGCCACATGCCATTAATAGTGTTGACATCACCTTCACCTTACTCTAAACAAGGTACATAATTTGCTGACAAAATGCATTTGCCATGATACTTATCTTCTAAAACAGTTTTTTTTTACTGTTTTCACTAAGTGTTTTCCTGTAGCATCAGATCTTTCTGCTCCACGGATGTGTTCACTGCCCCAGGAAGGTTTTCCATATCGTCTTCTGACATGGTTAACAAATCACCCAAGCGCAATGTGTTCAAGAAACCTTTCATAGCCCGTGGACATTCGTTCAAGTTCCGAGGGCCGTTAAACTGTCTTTCGCACCATACGACAGCAAACCTCTGCAGCACTTTGAAGTCACATATCATTTCACAAATTTTTGTCTACACTGAACACCTAAAGTTCACAACCAGTAAAGTCGAAAATCATTCTGTGGTTGGTTCTTGAGCAAACGCTTAAAGGCACAGAATGATTAAAACCCCACACTCAGTTTTTCCCTGTCACAGCCCTCATCGATCCACCTCAGGCAGGAGATATGGAATTTACTTCAGTTTAGTGACTCCATGAAAGTACTAAAATAATTAGGGTTAAAATGAAAAATGGAAAAGTAGAGCATCTAAGAGTTATTTGTCAAATTTGTCAAACTCAATTAGCAGAAATTTGTAGTATGAATTAACATGTCATACTCATAATGTCATACTGGCAAAGGAAACCAAAACATCATACAGTATATTCAAATTTTATTTATTTTATTTTTGTTCATACGTGTGGCAGTTCTGCCCCAAGTTCCCATCAATTTCCATATTTCTGACTAGAGATATCTAGTCAGAGTATATGTATACATATATGTATACACACACACATTTTAGCATCACAGTGGGCAATGGGTAGCACGATAGCCTCACAACAAAAAGATTACTGGTTTAAGCCTCAGCTGGTTCAGTTGGCATTTCTGTTTGGGTTTCCTTGGTTCTCCTCTTTCCCCACAGTCCAAAGACATGCGCTACAGGTGAATTGGGTAAGCTAAATTGTCCGTAGTCTATGTGTGTGAATGAGTGTGTATGGATGTTTCCCAGTGATGGGTTGCATGCAGCTGGAAGAGCATCCACTGCGTAAAACATATGCTGGGTCAGTTGGCAGTTCATTCCGCTGTGGCAACCCCAGATTAACAAAGGGACTAATCCGAAAAAACAAAATAAAAACGAAATAGACACATTTACACATTTTTCCCATTATGAAACTTCTGACTAATTACACATGCTTCTGTTGAGGTAATGAACGTAATGGCCAGTCAGAAGCATTTTGATTAGTCACTGCTGATAGTCATGTGGATTTGGCAAGAGTGTTCAGTCACTATGGCTGGGGTTTTTATACAGAAGTCTGTGCTGTAACTCATTGCCATGGTCACTTTTGTTGTATCTGCTGGTGATTTGTTGCACTATATGGCCCTGCAGTTACTGTGAACAATGATTTACAGCAGGAGTCTCCAAACTCGGTCCTGGAGGGCCGGTGTCCTGCTGAGTTTAGCTCCAACCCTAATCAAATACACCTGAAACAGCTACTCAAACTCTTACTAGATA